CCTTCTTTACAATATCAAAGGATGAATGTCCTAATCTATTGTGCCAAAGGTCTAAGCTCAACTTATTCTTGAGGAAAGCAGAATGACTTTGAGGTTGGAACTTTGAAAAAGGAGGAGGTACTTCAACTCTACTTCCTTTAGCTGGCATCATATCAAAGCAATAGAGTCCATTAAAAAGCTTGCCTTTGAGAAGGATCTCCCCTGTGGCTTGGTCCTTAAGAAGACAGAAAAATGGGTGAAACTCAAAGTAAACTTTGTTGTCTCTAATAAATTGGGAAACACTCAAGAGGTTTTTAGTTATGTGAGGGACACAAAGAAGGTTATTGAGGACAAATGAATGGTTCTTATTGGAAACAGATTGCACCATAGATGAACAAATATGAGTTATAGGCATACCTGCACCATTTCCCATCTCTATCTTGTCCTCTCCATGATATTCTGTTGTAAGATTAAGGTTGCTGAGATCTGCAGTGATGTGGTTAGTTGCCCCAGAATCTGGCAGCCATTGAGAGTCTTGAAAATTCTGACCAACTTCTGAACCACCAAAGTTGTTGCCACTGTATGAACTCAAGTTGGCCATATTTGCCATCTTCTGATATCCTTGTTGATTTCTAAAGTTGTTAGGCTAAGAGTAGATGAAAGATTGATCAAATCTGTTGTAGCATCTGTCAGCCGTTTGACCATCCTTCTGGCAAATTTGGCATCTAACAAAGTTACTCCTTCCTCCTCTACCTCTATAGTTGCTGCCTCTAGTAGATCTGCCACCCTTATTGGCTCTTCATTGGCCATATCTTCCTCTTGTGCTTTGGTTAGAGGTAAATCCTCCTCTCTTGGGTGTTTGCTGAGATGCTACATTTGCAAACCCTCTGAAGCCATCAGTATTGAGGGAGTTCACTGTGTTTCTTTCAATCCTACTCTCAAAAGTTAGTAGGAGAGACTAAGCTTCTCTGAGGGTGCAAGGAGGGGTTCTTGAGTTGATTGACACAGAAACTAAGTCATATTCTGTTCCCAGACCATCAAGTATAGATGAGATATGATCATCTTTAGTGAATGTATTTCCAGCAGCTGCAAGTGCATCATAACAAGACTTTATCTTGTTGAGATATTCCCTCATAGTCTGAGCACCCTTCTTGAGGTTGTGAAGCTGAGATTTAATCTGCATGATCTTGGCTCTAGACTGAGTTGTGAAGTCTAACTCTAGAGACTCCCAGATCTCAGAGGAGGTGTTAAGGCCAACTGTATTTATGAGGATCTCTTCAGTAAGAGAGCTCAAGAGCCAAAAAACTAACAATTGATCTTGCTTCTGCCAATTGAGAAAGAGTGGGTTAAGAGTATTAAGAACTCCATTCTCATCTGTAATGAATCTGTCTGGTGGTGATGTTGTTCCCAAAATGAACCCTTCTAATCCATAGCCTCTCACTGTGGCAAGAACTTGATGCTTCCACAACAGGTAGTTACTTTCATTGAGCTTTATGGTGACCAGCTGTGCTTGGGGTTGTATCACAGAAGGAATTTGTCCTGAGCTAGTTGAGTCTGAGGATGAACTTGCCATTTTTGTTTTAAGAAATAAAAACAGAATCGAGAAAGAGAAAAGGAGATATAATCACAGATCTGAAAATACATCAACAAATAAAGTGATGCCAAGTGAGTGAAAGAAACAGGTCAAGATCAACCTGCTCTGATACCATAATGGCCAATGTCAACAGCCATTGAAAGACAAAATCAAACACATAAATCGAAAAGAGAATCAAGAATGTAAGGATAAGCTTATGACTGCAAGATCTGTTGTATTGATGTTTATTATAACCTAGAAGGTGTTTACATATGTTTTTATATACTAAGGTCTGAACAAATGATAGCCTTAGGATGATAATCTAAGGCTGAGAAAGATTCTAATAAAGAGACAAAACCATTTACAATAAAAGGTAAAAAAGCAGCTAAAGTGTATGTGCATGAAGAAGGCATGCACACGTCCAAAAATGGCAAAAATGTTGACTGCATGTTGACTGCCATATTACTTGATAATATATACTATTAGATGTGTTATCATTCCTATTCTGCTGTTTTTTTTTCCCTAATTCCGATCTACCTTTCCTCATCTCTGATAGCTGTGGGAGTTTCTTTTTCAAAATTCTTTTGGGCAAAATCTAGGGTTTCTATGGGATCTTCAAACTGTGTTGGTCAAGACGATGAGTTAGCCCAGAAATTGCAAAATGTTTCTCTTCTATCTAAAGAGAACTCCTTTATTGATCTGGGTCGAAGCGACATCAAAATTAGTGCGGATGAATGCAATCGCAGCCTGTTCGGAAAGATTGTCGGCGATAGAGTTACCAGCTGGATTGGGGTCAAAAGAGCTATGAGCCATATATGAAAACTCAGTCAGCCGATGGAAATCAAGGAGTTGGGTACTAATTACTATCAGTTCATTTTTGAGAGCAAAGATGACAAAGACAAAGTAGCAAAGGGTGTTAACTGGACGTACGAAAATCAGTACCTTATCCTCTCGGAATGGAAACGGGGTCTTTCGATCAACCATTCCACCTTCAAAGAGCTTAACCTCTGGGTTCAGGTTTTCAATATCCCCTAGATTGGCTTAGCACAGAAGTAGGGTTGAAAATAGGGAAAGTTTTCAAACAGGTGAAGAATGTGGTTATTGTTGGAGCAGGCAGCCATGGTGGCAGAATAATGAGATTGCTAGTTACAGTGGATCTTCAAGAACCTTTACCCCGTTGTGCAAATCTCAGACTGGATGATCATGCAGTGAGTGTGGGGTTTAAATATGAAAGGCTTATGAACCTCTGCCATTACTGCAGCTTCATAGGGCACTTGGATAGGGCCTGCTCAATCAGACTCGATGACATTAAATCTCACTCCCTCCATGAAGGCCAATATGGAGCTTGGATGCGAGCTACTGATTTTAACAGATGGGCAGGCCAACACTCTTCTGGCTCTCAAAGTCCTCCTCACACTGACAGTCCTTCATCTCCGATGCACTCTGAATCTCAAAACCCATTAGCCAAAACCTATGGGCCTGATAACAACAAAATTCTCTCTATTGAAGGTTCACCTTCCCAACTCATTAGACAAGACTCTGAAGCTTCAACCTCTCAACCGGCCAAGGCCCTGTCTCAAATAAACCCTCAACAATATCCGGGGGTCTCTAATTCTTCAAATATGGCACCAGAGGATGCTCATCCTGAAAAACAAGACCTCAGTGCAAGTAAGGAAATGGAAATGGAAGACATCTTGATAAATGCCGCAATGGAAAAATCCATCCAAATCTCGGTTGCTGGTAAAGCTAATTATCAGCCAAAATTATGGAATAGATCAGAATCCAGAATGGGGAGGTTATAAAGACAGGCTATTTTTTCTTCTAATCCGGATGTCTCATCCTCTGTAAAAAGACAAAGAGAATCTGAAGAAAATCTAAAGAAAGGCAATCTTTCTCATGACTCTGCTCAGGAGGACAACAAAAAGCAAAAGACTGAATCTGGTAAGGTGGGGGTGGCCAGCCTAGAATGGCACCCAAGTGAACAATGCTAGCTGCGGTGTGGAACTGTAGAGGGCTTGGTGGGCCCTCTACAGTTTCCCAAATCAGAGAGACCATTAAGGCTCATCACCCATCTTTTTTCTTTATTTCAGAAACTAAAAAAAATTCTGCTTTTGTTAATACTGTTTGTAAGAGGCTAGGTTGTGCTTGTGAAGATAGAATGGCTATTGTTAATCCCCAAGGTCTTAGTGGTGGCTTACTCCTTTTTCTGGAATTCAAATGTCATTATTCATCAGCTTATCTGTCAGGACTTCTTTATTGCTGCAGAATTCCAGCTACCTCAATCTGAAAAACAATGGGGTATCTTTGTATATATGAGTGCCTGCAGGAACAATAGAATTATTCAATGGGATATTTTGGAATCTCTTAAGCCTACTTGGGGGCCTAAATGGTTTGCAGCAGGCGTTTGGAATGACATTTGTTCAAACTTAGAGAAGGTTGGTGGAATTATTAGAGGCATCTCCAGTTTCCAAGGTTTCAACTCTTTTATCAATAACATGGAGATTGAGGAAATTCAAATGATCAGTTACCAGTATACTTGGTGCAACAACAGGAACTCAAAAGAAGTGGTTGAAGAAAAACTGGACAGAGTTTTTGGCTTTATGGATTGGATGCTTTCTTCTCCAAATGCCAAAGTTCTGAATATTGTCAAAAGCTCTTCTGATCACTCATTATTAATCAACTCTGGAGATCCTAGCTGTAAACCCCCTAAAAGATTCTCTTTTGAGAAGAGATGGATTGGCATGACAGGGTTCTCAGAAACAGTTCACAAAGCTTGGCAGACCTCAGTGAAAGGTACTCCTTTCTTCAAACTCAAAGAAAAAGTCAAGTTCACTAGAGTGACATTACTGCAATGGAGTTCCTCCTTTCACTCCAAGAATCAGCTTATTATCAAATCCCTTACTCAAAAACTGGAAGATCTCAGAGAAAATAAGACAAATTCAAATTGGGAGGATTGGGAGAACACCAGGAGAGATCTCAATAGAGCTCATTTCTTTGAAGAGAGCTACTGGCAACAAAAATCCAAGATAAAATGGCTGAAGGAAGGTGATGGGAACACTAAATTTTTCCATGCCTATGCTCAGCAGAGGAGGAGAATGAATGCTATAATTAGATTGGTTTCTGCCAGAGGTCAGGAATTTTGTACTCAGAAGGAGATGGAAGAGCATACCACTGAGTTCTACTCAGTCTCTTTTCATCTGAAGAAACACTGGGGGTGATGCAATCATTCATCTCATACCTAAAACCATCACAGAGGATATGAATCAAACTCTTCTGCTTCCTGTTGAAGATGCTGAGATCAAAGACACCCTATTCAGTTTGGAGCCAGAGAAGTCCCCGGGGGAAGATGGTACATGCTCTTTTTTGTCAACATTTCTGGGATTTAATTCAAACTGATTTCACTTCTACAATTAAAAGTTTCTTTCACTCCAAACAGTTGCTGCAGTACTGGAATCACATTGTTTTATCATTGATTCATAAATTCTTTCTTCCTGAATCTCTGAGCCAATTTAGACCCATTGGGCTATGTACTGTAGTTTACAAGGTGCTCTCAAAAATTCTTGCCCAGAGACTGAAAACTGTCTTCACTCTTGCATCAGCATTTATCAATCAGCATTCCTCAAAGAAAGACAATTGCTAGACAACGTGATCATTGCACAGAAAGCCTTCCATTATCTCAACAGACTTTCCTCAGGCAAACACTGTTTCATGGCAATTAAGTTGGATCTCATTAAGGCATTTGACAGGGTGGAGTGGATTAGCCTGTAACAGATTATGATTCAAATGGGATTTCACAAAGACTTTGTGTCTCTTATTATGGTCTGTGTTTCTTCTTCTACTCTCTCAGTGAAGGTTAATGGTAGAGTTTCTGGATTTATTAATCCAACCATAGGGATTAGACAGGGGGATCCCATTTCTCCCTATCTATTCATTATCATGGCTGAACTTCTTTCTGCTCTAATTCTTGATGCTGTGAATTCTGGCCTGTTGCATGGCTTAAAACTCTCAAAAAATGGTCCTTTGCTCTCTCACTTGCTTTTTGCAGACGACTCTCTTCTTTTTTGCAAGGCTGATGCTCACCAAGCTGGAGTGTTGATGAATATTCTGCATAAATACAAACTCTACACTGGCCAGGCTGTTAATCTTCTCAAATCAGCTGTTTTCTTCGGCAGAAATTCTCCTGCTCACATTAAGTCCAGAGTTTGTTCAGTGATGAATGGTATCTCTTGCCACAGATCCACCAAATACTTAGGCTTACCCCTGGTATAGGAAGATCTAAGAAAGAAGTCTTTTCCTACCTGGTGGAAGCTATCAAAGTGAAACTTCAAGGCTGGAAATCTAAATTACTTTCTTCTGCTGGTAAGGAAGTTCTTCTTAAGTCAGTGATTCAAGCACTACTTATTTTTCCTATGTCCTGCTTAAGACTACCCCGGTTAATTTGCAATGATATCTCTAGTCTTTGTGCAAAATTTTGGTGGAACACCAATGAGGACAACTCTAACTGCATTTTCTGGAAAAGCTGGAAAAAAATGACCCTCCCTAAGCAGAATGGAGGCATTGGTTTTATTGAAATTCAGTTATTCAATGTTGCCTTGATTTGTAAACAACTTTGGAGAATTGCTTTTAACCCTGAGCTTCTTGTCAGCCAAATTCTGAAAGACGGATATTTTCCTATATCATCTATCCTTCAAGCTGTCAAAACTCACAAAAGATCTTGGTTGTGGAGCTGTTGGCTTGGAGTATTACCTATATTTTCTAAATGGCTCAAAACTAAAATCAGAGGAGGTGCTGAAACTCGGATTGAAGAGGATAATTGGATTCCTAACTACACAAGATCCAAACCAGTTATGTTAGAACTTGCAAGAGGCCACCTCATATTTGTTAAAGATCTTATTATGCCAGATGGAAAAGAGTGGAACCAATGGCTGGTTAATCAAGTCTTCTCAGCAGCTAATAGCAAGGCTATTCTAAGTATATCCTCTCTGAAGCCAGACACAAAAGACAGATTATATTGGGGTCTTGATAAGAAAGGTAGATTCTCAGTCTCCAGCATTTATTCTCACTTAGTGCAACAAAATGTTCTTTCTCTTGATATGCCTGGATGCAGCACCTCTTTGATTCCTATGGCCAAAACTCTATCTAGAAGCTGGTCTCTCAAAATTCCAGGCAAGATCAAAATTTTTATCTGGAAATGCCTCAGTGGAGCTCTGCCTACTCTGATTAATCTCAATAAGAAAGGGCTTGATATTGACTCTATCTGTAAAAGCTGTGGTGAAGGGCAGGAATCAGTCGAGTGTTTGTTATGTTTTTGTGCTTATTTTTTATGTGTTTCTATGTGTTATCGAGTCATTTTTAGGTTGGTTTTAGTGTCGTCCGGTCCATTTTGTCGTTTTCCGAGTGTTTTTGTGTTTTTCATTTTATTTTGTATCTTGGCGTACTTGTC